CGGCAATGAGGAGGTCATCTGCAGCGATGTGGGGATGTAGGCTGGATTTGGTACACAGAAACGTTGGTTCTTGCACATTTCAGCTTGTCATGTCTGGATCGAGTGTAAGCTCCAGGGCTCCCAGATTCGGCAACAGTTCTGGGGCTTGACGTGCAGATGGCAGATGGTCAGCTAGCAGCAGAGTTGTTTGAAGGTTTCGAGAGATTTTCGCCAACATGCAGTAGCATAGCTCATTTGGCCACGGCAACTTGCTCAGTGGCAAGTTGCCCTTGCAGACCACAAGGTGAACAATCAAGTAGTATGTTGCCTTAGATTCTGCATGGTTCGCCCCCTGAGCATGCGCAGTGGGAAAGTATCTTGCCAAGACCTCTTCCCTGTACACATTATTCGGAAGGCTTCCATGAACCTTCGCGCCCAATATGTTTTTTTTGATGCTTGCAAGTCCAGGCGGGGACGACGGCACGGTTCGCGTGCTGTCCTTGAACACAGCGCAGCTGACATGGGCAGCCTGGCCCCCAGGAAGTCGACTTTGCAGCGGCTGAAACATGTGTCTTTTAGTCTGTGGACTTATTGTCGTTGCAGTTTGATACCCTCATCTTGTCGCATCATTGCGAGCTGGACTCTTAACCTGTGCGGGCACTTAGAAATGATTGCGACGGATACTGGACTGAGTTCCATGTCTTTTCTCTTGCCTTCATGCCCAGTCTTTGTATCAAACCCAAAGGAAGTCCATTCACTAACGTTTACACTCTGATGAGGCACCATGGTTTACCCTGTAAGTCATGCTGTTCATGGAAAGCAGCATTGTCAGCATTTGCCAGCTGCTCACGTGCTCCCTCAAACCAGGTGGCACTGGTACCTGGCGGGCGTCTTAAGCTGATGGACGTGATGGTTCCCAGTTGGTCTCAACTGGAGAAGCTCCAAGCTCAAAAGCAAATGCGTGCTGAGGTAATGGCACAGCAGTATTGGGAATGCCTTAGCCTCAGAGTGCCTGCATTTGATGTTTGCAAAGGTTCAGAACGAAAGCCTTGTTGCACTTGTCGGAGAGTGGAATCTATAGGATGCAGGCTTTGGGCCTCCATACTGTGGATGCTAAAAATCCTGCATGACCCTAGGTACCTTATACCTTGGGAAGTATGATACTGCAGTATAGGGTCATGCAGGATTTTTGTATCCACCGTAGTTCCATTTCTTCGAAGGCCGAAGCCCGATCTCTTGAGACAGAATGACCTTGAGATGGTGGTCTTGAATGGTGGCGTTGCAGGGCACTTGGTGCTGTGCCATAAGGGTAGCCACCATTGAGAACTCCACACGTCAAACTGATGAGTCAAGGAAGGATAAGCTCAGAAAGTTTTCGCCGTAACTTTCAGCTTTCGATCCTGCGGCCTCGGACAGTCCCATGGCCTGCAGTACTGAAGCGCCGTCTGTTCAGCAATGCCAAAGAAAGCACATATCCACTTTCGACATTGCCGTATTCCGCTCTTTCCATCTGGGACACGGAAGCTCCAGTGAGCAAGTCATGTGCGTGGGATGAGGTGCTCAGAATGTTGAGAGAACAAAATGGGAGTTCACAAACCAACAGCTTTGGTCATTGGCACTCTAGTCTTCTCCACAACTTCGGGGTCATCCTGGTGGCCCACCTCGTGAAGCTGCGCATGGTCGTTATCCTCCCCATTGCCCAAGTCGCGTGTGTAATTTGTTATCGTAGTGGTGGAACTTCAGCAGAGTTAATGATAGGTGCTCTCACGTCTCTTGTGGAGTTGGGTTATCGTGTTACTGCGTGCTTGGATCTGGAAGCGCTGCGGCAGTGTTGATGGCGGTGGCAGCCGGAGCACTGGTAAGGGTAGTTGTTTTCATCATGCCTGAAGTGGCAGTAAAAGTGGCACTGGTCACGGCGGTCCGGAAGTGGTTGTGGTGGTGGCATGAGTAGCTGTGGCAGGCTGCGGTCATGCTATTGGTGGCGGGTTGTTGATGGCGGGTTGTTGCAGTAGTGCTCGTGACATCCCTCCTTATGGTCTGGTGGGGGTAACCTGGTTAGTGCCCAAAAAATCCCCAACAACTTGTGCACGCGATGTGGAATGAAGTCTTCTGCATCTCAGGCTCAGCTCTGGGAGTTGGGGCAGAAAGCCAGTGAGGACGGCAGACGGAAAGCTGTGTGCTGTTCTTCAGCTGAATTCTTGGGTTGTGGGGCGCAGAGTTCAGAATCGGCCAATTGCAATACGCTCATGTTCATCGAGGGTGAGTGGATTTCTGTGGTTGCAGCGTTGCTATATGCGGTGTGTGTTCATTCATGATGACCCTTTTCCCCACCCTCAATATGAGATTTCCAAGCACATATGGCTTCGGCAAACCTGGGCTTTTCGAGTGGCCACTTCCAGGTGGTCTGTAGCCCACATGAGAGCCAGCATCCCATGGTTTCTGGGCAGTAGATAATGCCTAACCTGAGCCGGCTTGAGGCGTGCTTGTTGAGTGTGATGTTGCGGCGCTGCGCCTTGTCAATGTTAGTTTCAAAGCAATATACTGAGATGGGCTGAAGCAAAGCTGTATGAAGGGACAGATGTGAACCGATCTTTGGGATACCAACCAATGCCAGGTGACCTGTCCCACAACCCATAGTGTATGCCCATAACTCTGGAAAAGGATCCGAACCCCATGCGCCGGCAGGAGCTGGCCCCCCTTCCGCCACAGATTGAATGCCGCTTGCAGCTGGGCAGCAATTTGAAGAGCGACGGGATTTGGGTTTGCTTTTCAGGGTTTTCATGTGTTTTCATGTGCCATCCAATCCCTTGCTTGGAGGTTTAGAGATGACAAACCTCCAACTTGAAGGACAAGTCTTTGCGCACGTTTTCAGGCTTGACAGCGACTTTGTCTCTGCGACGATGCAAGGAAGGCAGCAGGGAATGAGTTTGTCACACCACGCTGCTTTAGGCAATGCCTATACAACGTCGAGGGGTGCCTCTGCCAGTCTACGTCTGCAAGTGTTTGCTTCGAATCCAGATTCAAAGCATGAAGCTCGTAGGTGGCCGGTGTGCTTTGAACAGCTTCTGGAAGAGGGCGAAAGGAACCGCAGTGTGTGCCAGGATGGTTGCAAAGGATGAGGCCATGTGTGACCTGCCGGCCAACATTGAATTCTTCAGGCGTGCAACTTTGGAAGTTCTACGCGGGTTCGTGCTCCGGAAGGGCTCTTTGAAGTTCTGCAGGCTGGGGCAGACCTTGCCGGTGAACAAACATCCGGACTTCACCTCAGAACCATGCAAAGCCCTCTCCTGCTTGCACTGGCCGGGCTAGAGTTGCTGAACCTTCGTTGCATCCAAGTTCCTGCTGCCTGCGAATCCACAGCAAATTGAAGTTCGCCAGAGCCTCATGTCAAAAGCTGCCCAGACTTTCATCGAAGCATGTGCTACCTACCCACTCAATGGCAACCCTGTGGCCCAACTGCAAAGCCGAATGCAAGGCCCAGGGTCAAGGGCTGCAGATTGGACGCCAGTCAGTGCCAGCAGGACCGTTGTCACGAAAGCTTTTTTGTGTGGGAGCTTCGTTTAGTACCTCACGAAGTGAGCCTGGGATTATGGGGGAGTGTTTTCGGGCAAGATTCCCGGAGTCCATTCTGGGTCAGTTTTGGTAGGTTTTCGGGGGCATTTCAGGAGGTTCATGAGGGCATTCAGTGTCCCACGCACTGTCCATTGTCGAGCTTTCGTCCCAGCCCGTGGCTCTCAAGTTGGAGTCCAGGGTTGCCGGGCGGCTGCGATGCGGGGGTGCATTCCATGGTGGCTTCAAACTTGGGATTCAAGATGCAATCCGACTACTTCTTTGTCATCACGCCTTTCCTGTAGCTTGCACGCCCAGAGAAAGTTGTAGGGGTCAGAAGCTGCATTGGCGGCGCCAGCAGCAGTAGCAACAATGGTGGTGGTGGTGGTGGTGGCGGTGGCAGGGCGGTGGTGGTGGTGGTGGCGGTGGCAGGGCGGTGGTGGTGGTGGCGGTGGCGGTGGCGGTGGCGGTGGCGGTGGCGGCGGCGGCGGCGGCGGCGTTTCCAAATCATTCACATCCAAAACACCGAATCATGGTCAAAGTTCGTAGGACAACCAAGCACTTTGACGCTTCAAGCAAACCTCCCTGCAGGATCACCTTCCTCCCAAGCGTACGAGTCAGCTCCATACAGCCAGCAGCGGCAGCGGCTGGCTCAGTGGGAAATCCATAGCTGCTTTGATCGCTGTAGACTGTTGCCTTTCGCCTCGAAACTTTGGCACGTCTGAGGCTGTAGACCTCGTGACAGAGACCTACACCGGCTTGCTTCTAGCTTAGCCTCTACCCAGGCTATTCCAGAGCTCGTCTGACATTGCCCGGCACTGAGGGCGCGATATGCGAGGAGGACCTCGGAGATTGATGGAGTAGTGGTTGCCCTTTGCCTTAAACAGCGCTTGCTAAGCGCTGATGCTGGCTCTATTTTTCAGTGCCAAAGACATCCAGACCAAGCACTCGACACAGCTTCCATGCAGTCCTGCGGTCTTGCAGTCTCAGGCTGTTTTGGATGGTGTCGTCCAGGCCGTGCTGCCAAGCAGAAGCCCGGTCATTCATTTGCGTTCTTGTGCTTGGGGCTGATGCGTATTCGGTTTACCTACTCTAAATGCGTTGCTGAGATGCCCTAGTCAATTCCACTCAAGGCCTGATGCAATGCATTGGTTTTCGCCATACTTCGTTTGCGCAGGTGAATGTCACCATCGAACCTGAAGCAGCTGGGATCTCAGCCCTCTGCAGACTGGGAGCTACTGACCGCCACCCCGAACTTTGTCTCACCGAGCCGGAAGGACAGCAAAAAGCTCAGGCAGCCATTGCGATGCAGTCGGCGCCGTCCGTTTGCAGAGCCGGTGGCCTTCTGCGCGGGAAGCATTCTCCAGTTTCAATTCTGAAGAACTGCAAAATCCTCCCTTTCCGCAATAACCAGCCCTCTCAGCACCTTCTGATTGAGGGCCCGATGCAGTTGATGTGGTGGCAGCAATAAGGCCACATCGACGGGCCCGTCCGCAACGTCCTACGTCCTTCCACTCAGCTGGTTGTCGCTGACCATGGCCAGGCCACGGCCCTTGACTGTAGAATTGGAGTTTTTCGAACTTCCTTTGAAGTCACGATGCAGAACCCTCTCCAACCTTCCAACCATTTTGCCGCGTGGCAGGTGCGGGCCAATGAACACAAGCCATGTCTTCCCCAGCCAGGGCCTCGACCATTTGCTTTCAAAACGATCTGTCGCTGTTTGAAAACCGTGCCGCGATCGGCCAAGGCATGCATAGCCTTCGCATCGAAGTGTCCCCGAATGGGCTACAGTGGTATCCGGCACCGTTGGGCACCTGGTGATTCATAGAGCCACGTAAAATCTCAACCTACCCAAGTCTGGACTCCTCGTGCTTTTTGACCTCAGGAGGAAAATAACACCTCCTGTTATTTGGCGAAGAGCTGTGGCATGCTTTGGGCTTGCGGAGCTCTTGGGTCCGGTTTCCAGGCGTCCACTCGCACTCTTCGAGCAGGTCCAGTTCACAAGCATGGCGCCCTTTCCCCGGCCTGCAACAATGCTGGGATGCCTGCACATCAGGAGCCTTACTTCCAGGATTCCGCTTGAGCAAAGCTTCAAGCTTTCAATCACCTCAGCCTCCGAACCCATGTCAGACTAACCCCGGAGCCTTTGGCCTTCAGGCCGTTGGTGGCTTCGATCTCCACGCCCCGCTGGATCACCCTCCGCGGTGTAGGTTTTCCGTGGAGCCGGCATGGCTCCGCAGGGATTGAGATGGTTTGACATTTGAAGCCCTCTCACTCAACTCCGGAATCATAGCGGCTGTTAGTCACACAACTTAATTCCATGCTGCAGCACACAGGTTGGAGCCTACTATCGATTTTTCTTGGCATTGAAATCCTTGGGTGCGGGTATTCTGGTTCCAAGACAGGCTATTTACCTCCAACTGAGCTGCAAGATGGTACACAGGGTGCTGTCACAGCGGACGGCGGACGGAATGGATTTTTGGGAACATGATCGAGTCTGTCCTGGAGCATTCTGTAAGAGTGGCACTCCAATTCTGCCAGGAGATCTATCGGCCTCAAGATCACTGTGCGGGGCTGAAAACAAATAGTCCATTGTCTGTTTAAAGCTTCGTTTGCTGAGATGTGCAACTTGGTACTTAGGATTGATGCTCTTGGCTTCTTCTTTCTGATTATTGAGTTGCTTAGTCCCTGTCATACTGTCATCGTCTGAAGACAAGTGCATCGTTGTGTCCATGCCTAATGCATGAAGATTGTGAGGACAGATCTTGTTTTGCAAGAGCGCTTGTGCCGATGAACTTGAGGTCCAAATTGGAGACTTCTTTCGGCAGGCCAGGACTTTTTCCGAGCGCTTTAAATTTGGGATGGACTTTTTCCAACAGATCCGGACAAAAGATACAACCTCCGCATAAGATTTTGAGGATGTGATTGACTGAGAGAGACTGCAGGCTCTTCGCATCAACAGTACCACCTTGAGATTCCGTCCACTTCCCAGTCTATGGATTCAATCTCGAAGCAGTCTCGGAGCTGGAGTCTGTGTTTTGGAGGCTCTATTCCGCAAGGTTGCTTGTGTGCTTAGGTTCACCTCAGTATGCTGCTGCGGTGAATGCATCCATCCTGGTATCCTTCGGCGGTTCACCTGCGAAAGACACGGGCTTCTTTCTGAGGCTCCGCAGTGGATGTTTTCCCTCGCAACAGTGCTATGCGGTATGCTCAATCCAATTGCATATGGTTCTTGCCAAGCGCTTTCAATTCTATGACACTACGTACGTCTGGCTCAAAACACGTAGGATACGCTTGGGGCGCAAACTCCTGGTGCTATGAAAGGGATTCACCTGGTCACCTGGGCTGTTATTATCACCTACTTTATTCAGTGGATGGAGAGGCAGGTAGCTCTCTAGCCCCATGCCAGGTTGTTCGATCCCCCCAGCATCCACAATGTGACTCCCATTGCCATCAGTGTTGGGGATCCTCGAGGCCTGCAATCTGTGCTGCTTGTGAGGCAGTACCTCAAAAAGAGCCACAGGAGCAGTTGCTGCTACTTTTACATGGTTTATATACAAAAATATATATGCAAATACACATGCGTTCAATGTAGAGTATAGAATATCCACCAGAGATGCAAATACCTTGCAGTCCAAGTCTATGTCATGTCTGAGAAAACGAGAAACCACGCATCTTCCTCCGCTTCAGGCCGTACATTACATGAGCTATAGTCCAAACTCCTGGTATCCCCCAAAATGGTCCCCTATATACTCCCCTAGATAGCCCCGTTAAGGAGTTTAGAGCATAGCTCGCATGCGTTGCAGGTACTGACTCCCGTCGGCCCATCAACATGTACGGAAGCAACTTTCAGCCGACCGACGAGTGCATCTTCCAGCTGCTTGAACTGCACCCAAGTTCTATGACTACGGCCCAAGTTAGGCCCATTTAGGGTTTAGGGTTTAGGGTTTACAGGGTTAGGGGACTCAGATGGTTGGGATTTAGGCTTCGGAGTTCCTCTAGACTCAGTGCCAAATTTGCTGGAGCTTGCAGCCTTGAACCCTTAAAGGCCTGAGATCTGAGCCATTAGATTTAGGAAGCCCCTTGGCCAGGGCTGCGTCCATGGTCATTCCGCTGCGCGTTCCGCTCACCAGTCCTGGCCTCAACATGAGGGCTTCTGATTCTGGTCTCAGAGGGGTACAGAGGTTCCGGGTTGCCAGCGGCATTGGGGGAGCGCTGGTTCTTCCACCAAAAGCTGTCATTTGGCTGAAGCAGGCCCGAAAGCATTTTGGTTTCAAGGGCTGGCCAAGTTGCTTATTATCTTGCTTTGAGTTTGAGTCTGCAATCAAGCTGATGTGACATGAGCTCTAGTCTAAACTCCTTAAAGGGGGCTATATAGGGGATTATGTAGGGGAGTACTATAGGGGCTCCTCAAGGGGATACTAGGAGTTTAGACTATAGCCGATGTGTATTACTAGTGCTACCAAAAACGTTCCCAGGTTACATCTCCTCATCTCACGTCCAGTGCCGGGCTCCAGGCCCTTTCTGCAACGCTCAATAGGTTCAGTATCAGGCAAATCTGTTCGCAATTATTTCAAACATGAGTGTGTATGGGTATCCAGATATGTAGATCTCTCCTACCACAGAAGTGCGTGAATGTACGAAGCAGTGTAGCTCACAGCCATGCTAGAGCCGATTGTGTTGCAGAAACATGGCATGTTGAAACTTGGTTTTCTTGCGCTGCTGTTTGATTGGGCCGTGGAGGAAGAGTTCAGACTTTGATGATGCTGATCCTAGTCTTGATGTTGGTCCGCGACAGGCGTCGCACTTTCTGATGCCATCGTCCCAGAAGATCCACCGGAGGAACAAGACATGTGCGAGCTGTACGCGTGAGCCTGCCATGTCTTGCTTGTCTGGCAGGGTGCATGCAGGCCTTGGAGGAGGTATGCCAATCCACGCCACAAGGCTTCTTCTCCCTAAATCCTAAACCCAGCACAATCCGTATAATCCCCATGATTTCCATTTTCTTTTCCATTATCCCCACTCCCTAAACCGTATATCGTCCCTACATAACCCCCCTTGAAGGAGTTTAGACTACAGCCACAAGGCTTCTTCTTGCTTGCCAGGTCGCTGCAGGACCAGATCAACACCTTGAGGAATACGGTGAATGCCATGAAAGCCAGACCTGGGGTTAAGATTATGGGGTTGTATTGGGGTTATTTTGGGATAATGGAAACGAAAATGGAAGCTGTAGGAGTTATGGGGATTATATAGGGGTGATATAGGGATTATCATGTTATATTGGGGTTATTCTGGGATAATGGAAACTAAAATGGAAACTAATATAATGGGATGATACAGGTTTGTTTTAGGGTTTAGGGTTTGTATAGGGATAATGGAAAAGAAAACGGATACCATAGGAACTAGACTATAGGGACTATATAGGGTTTATATAGGGATTGTAGGGAATATATCTGGGTTATATCAGGATAATGGAAAAGAAAATGGACACTACTATGGTATATTGGGGTTATGGTTTAGGGTTTAGCCGGTTGTTTTGCTCAATGCAATCGTTATGGTAGTGTCCCTAAATAGGGGGACCCTGATATAGATCCCAACATACTTGAGCCTCGTTATATGGACACCCAAAAGGTACCCTAAAATTTTGGGAAATCAAGAAATCCCCTTATCTCCATCCCAATGCAGAGGTAAGCGTGAGAACTGGTACTATTAGGATGCTATCGGGCGATCCTCATTTGAAGCGCTAGGAGCTGCTGGATTATGGCGCTCGGACCCCAAGTCAGAGCTCAACTGCTTCTATAAAGAATGCCTTGGGTATTGCGCCCACCCAGTAACAGTCTATATTCTGGGTCCTATTAAAGGTTATATATCACCATATACCCAAAGAATGCCCACCATCCTTTCCCCTGTTCCAGATTATGAGGAGTGCCCACCCTAAACCCTAAACCCTAAACCGTCTCTTTGAAACTCCAAGGTGCCCCAAGCTTGAACTCCACACATTGGCACGGATTGTCAATCTTAAATTCCTAAACCCTAAGGTAGAGTTATAAGGATTAGAGTTAGGGTTAATTCCTAAACCCTAAGGTTCTAACATCCTAAGCCCTGAAACCCTAAGTCTTTAACCTCGACCAGCCGATCTCCTAAACCCAATGCCCTGAGACTTCAAACCATTACCTGTAAAGCCCTAAAGCTTCAAACCCTCAACCTAAAAGCTTGAAAGCCTACAACCTTCACAACTCAAAATCCAAAGCACCAAAACCGTAAAACTCTACGCTCTAAACTCCCAGACTCGTAGCCTGCTCCGCAGGTAGCGCAGCTGAGCGTGCGGATTGGCAGCTCCTTCCCAGGCTGCCCAGCCGACTGTGAGGAGAGCTGGGAGGGAAGAGAAGTAGGGGTTGAAGTTGAGGGGTTGAGGGGTTGAGGGGTGGAGGGGTGGAGGGGTGGAGGGGTTTAGGCTTTGCGGCTAAAGAAACCGTCAGAGCATGGTGAATACTTTCATGGGGATTTGCTTTATCTATTCCACTGGACTGCAGCATGGATAGGACTCTGTGGGTGTAGAATCAGCTTTAACATTTTCATAATTCACAAGCAGCTTACCGAGGAGTCGTGTAATGGTTCACAAAGCCACAAGCATATTTCTGCTGAGAGCCCGAGAGTTGGGGCCATTCCAGCCAGCTTGGACGGCGTTGGCCACGATGTTCGCATGTCTGGAGGACCAGAACTTCAGCTTGACGAACGGGACTCTGGACACCTGGTTCTACAGTCAGCCAGGACTCTGACACTGAAGCCTGAACCACTTAAAGTTGGAGGGCCGTTTTTGAAGCATGCGTGTCCTCCCGTGTGAAAGCAGATGAGAGACACCGCGGTAATGATAGATGGCTAACTGTCTTGACATTCCGACGCGTTCTTCAGGTGTTCTCCGCTCTGCTTGCTACGGGGTCATCTTTTTGATAATCAGTCGAGACTCGAGAAAGGCCAAAATGCTAAATCCAAGGTGTTGAGATTTCAGCAAAAAGTAAGGGACCCGAACCCATTTGGACTTTCTGCTTTCTGCATTTTTTCGCGTCAGAATTCAACGACACGGAGAACATGACACCCTGGTCGCCGGGCAACATGTCATTCCAGGCCAGAATCCAGGTATTCACTTCAGAATTGCACAAGTGGTATGCCATGTGTATGAGCCCACCTTCTGTCACGATATGTCACGATATGTCCCGCATTTCTGCAAAGGGAGCTTTGCAGCAAGACTCAGAGGGTGCACTGGTTCTTGCGCCAGGCATCTGTGCTGCCTCCGAGCGCAGAGCAGGCTTGATGCCCATCCCCACACAATGCGCAAACACATACTCCTTGCTCAATGGTGAAGGAACAGATGCCAAGCTCCCAAAGCGAAGAAGCACCCTGCTTGCACCCCTCGCTAGAGAGGTGCGGCTGGAGGCACTGCAAAGTAGGCTCATCTTCGAGGCTCGTGGGCTTGAATTGAGTAATTAGCTTTCGCAATGGTGGCCATTTATTGGGCATTTGGGTATAGGAGCTGCGCAGAGGAACCCAGTTGTATCTTCCCTGTTTGGATGCCCTACTTGGGTTTGGTCAGGGCACGGCAGGAGGTGCGTTAAAGATAGCCTGGATTATATCGCTTGACCAGCTCAGCATGAAAAGAAAAGACTGCCGACTTGGTGGTCTGACACCATTGGAATTTGCCAGACCTGCTCATCGACATCTACCGAGCTATGCATGACGCGCAGCAAAGCCCTACTAAGAATGTCAGAGAAGGCATTTTCAGCAAGGTTGTGTCCCAAATATCCTGGAAGGCCGGAGTGGCCTATCTTGAGTGCGTGGCGCAACAAGCAGCTCCCCAAGTGGTGGAGGCCTGGTTTATTTTTGAGGGCTTATCACTATAGGAATCTTGCAGGGAGTGTGTGTTCGCCGGCGCACAATTGTGTCAACATCGCCGGAGAATACGTCGATGGGATTCCTACTGATGCTGCTCTGAATACTTCCGCTGCTATTTCAGATTAAAGGTGCGCTGCAACCACCGGACTACTCTTACATTGCGACCGCCCGGGGGGGAAGAACAAAGGCGTCCGTCCCACTTGCCCCACTTGCCCCACTCGCCAAGCTTGCCCCACTTGACCCACTTGCCCTGAGCAAGTGGGGCACAGGGGTTCGTTCTCGGGCCCTCAAGCGGTTTGTCTGGCCTCCGGAGCAGGAGTTGAGGGGGCCACATTATGAGGAGAGAAGTGGGTCAAGTGGGGCAAGCGGGGCAAGCGGGGCAAGTGGGTCAAGTGGGGGGCAAGTGGGGCAAGTGGGTCAAGCGGGGCGAGTCGGACCTTTAACCCCCCAACGCGGACACTCTTTACTTGTATGTGCTCCTACTGCTTCCAGCACGACAACTGCTACTTCTGCTATGGCTCCTGCTGGGAGTTCTGCCACCAAAACTACCCTTGATCGTATTATGTCACCCCAAATATCAAATCTTCCCAGCGCAGTTCGTCTATTAAATTGATTGGTATTGGGGGGTTCGGGGTAGGTGAATATGGAAATGTCAGAGCGTCATAGTTTCTGCATGTATCAGTTTGTCAACTTTCTGCACGTTCTCGCATGAGGAGCTGATAATCTTAATCAAAGCTCCCTATACAGTACACTGATATTTGAGGAATTCAAAATTTGTATGAATACGCGGACGGACATTTCATGCTTCTGTACACGTGCATGCTACAGACAATATAGTTTTCTATTGGAGGAATAAATGGTTCTTGACTACACTTGTGGGCCTTGTAGTCTTGCCAGACTCACGCCAGGAGCGGCCTCTCGGCGGCTTCCTTCTGGCTTCCGTGTGGTCTCCGCGGCTGCTGGATGCACAGCCTACCGCCCTTGGTTCCGAGGCGAGATGCAGCACGGGGGTTCTTAACCTTGCAGTTCTTATTACTTGATGTCGTGTTGGGGTAATGCAAGAAGATGTCTCAATTCTTTGGGTCTTTTTTCAAGCAGCTCAACCTGAGGATTGAGTTGGTTGCAGGGGACCTTGATTTGAGTTGAGGAGAGTACGTGAAATCATTGGGTCAGTCTCAGACTTGTGGCATAGCACCATATTCTGCATAAGCACTTGTGAAATTCTTTGCTTAATTCATGGCCCTCATGTGCTACACTGCGAGGCATTTCCAGTGCGCCTGCTGCCGCGGCTAGGAATCTCCTCCGTCACTCCAGACTCTGGGCCCGTCACGGGAGGCCGAGATCCAATTGAGTGTAGATAGCGAAGGCTCAGAAGAGGAGGGCAGAATCGTAGCAGAGTGGCCCTCGGGAGATGTGGCAGGAACTCTGATAGCGGTGGTTGGCAACGGCTTCTCGCAGCAGGGGCGTCTGTCATGGCCTCAGCACAGCTCACCTGAGCCTCTGTCTTCTGGGCCATCGTCTGGCATCCTCTTTGCTCCTCTGCCAGGTCTTGTGCATTTGCTTCATCCTCAGCTGATACTGCCGGTGCAGTGACCTGCTTTGATACTGAGTGTCCTTTGAGGACGACAATCTTTACATGCCAGCTCGCTACTACAACGAGAGCCTGATCTACTGTGCGCCAAGGTTGAACCAGGAGGTCCATATTTCACGGCAAATGTCGGCTAACATTTTATCCCGCCAAAATGAGATAGTTCTTATGCTTGTGACCCCCCCCAAATGCGAGAAAAACGCACAGGCAATTTCCTAAGACCTAAACCCTAAACTTGTGCTTGCGACCTTCATAACCCTGGGAGGTACCACTCCAGCTTACCATCCAGCAGGCATGGATTTCTCTTCAGTTCTCTGATTCTCCCAAAGGAATATTTGCCATGCCAGTATGTGCATGAAGAACAATCTTTTCCAGGTGTGGGCTCCAAACCATGGACCCAACATTTCGGAACTCCAGCTGAAACGCTAAGTAAGTCCGCGGCGTCATGGCTGCCAGGAGTTTCCAAGCTGAAGGTGGCCAGTTGGCTACATGAGCCTTGCTCTCAGCCTCCCCTGTGAGCCACTGCCGGTTGCAGTGTGCCTGGCTCTAGACTCTAGATCTTTGTGCATGCGCCATTTGCCCCGGTCTCTTTGTCGTTGCTTTCGCTATGCTTGTTTGTAGTATTATGAGTCTTCTCCTTTCTTGCAAAAGTGACTTACCGCTTCTGTTGCTTCAACCTTCCAGGCTCTCGGTGACGTCCGTCGACTTCACGTTCTACCCGAAGCAAGCCGCCAAGTCTGATGAATCTCAGCGCTGTGGAGTTGTCCTACGCGGTGAGGGTTGGGATTTATTGCTAGGATTCAGAACTAAATTAGCTTTTACGGTAACGGGGTCCGCTAAACAAGCTCCCCGCTCAAGTGCCACTAGCTTCCTTGGCTGAGGTGGACCTTTTCGCTGCAGCAGGCTCGGAACCAGGGTAACTTTCTGAAATCTGGTGAGGGTTCTGTAGGCTTCGGGATTTACTGGGGCTAGGATTGCGAGGCATGAGGCGATGGTTAATTAGAAAGGTTGATTGGGGGGGTCGACATAGGGGTCCCGGATGATTGTTGTGTTCAGACATGGCAGTTACCTGTTAGTTAGTTTTAGACTCATCACGTCACCAGACGAAGCCTTTCCACCGAAGCAAAGCCCTTGGGCGCTTTGTTGTGCTGCCAGTTCATGCAAGAACCTTCGCAAGACCCCCGAACCCAAGCAAAGGATGCAAGCTGGGCCAAAGGGTGCAGCCGGCGTCCGCTTGCATCTGTCAAGCTCTGCACCCTCAGCGCCTTCTGCTGTAGTAGTCTTGTTAGTTTTTGTTTCTGGCCTGCTAACCAAAAGGGGAGCCACTCAAGAAGCTACTGACTCTCGAAAGGGATGCTTGCGCTTCGGGCAGGAGGCTGCTTGCTTCTCGGGAGACCTTGGGGACAGCGTCGTGCTCTACGCGCGGGAGGCACGCGGCCGGTGAGCTTAAGGCTTGAGGAGGCTTCTGGCTCAGGCCGCATCGGGCTGGGTTGCCAGAGATTTGGGGTACACTTCCTTTGTCAGAAACCTGCACAAGTACCACCTGCGCACTTGCTGCAAACTTCCCCCCTAAGAGCATGGAGTTCGACTTTCCAGGCAGAGTTCCTGCAGTGGCAGTACTCGGTGTATGATGCTCTGTGCCTCTTCACCGCAGCTTCTTGGCAGTCGAAACCAGGGATCCGTATTGAGTTCCATGATGCCCCTAGACCTTATTCTCCATGTTCCGGACGCGATCTGGTTTTCGCTAAGTGTTGAGCGACATCTGAGGTTGGGCCGCCAATGGGTGTCTTCAACACGAAGGCTGAACAGATGCACGCAAAGAAGCACGAAGAGCCTGATTGGACGGATTGTCTTGCCTCATCTTCATTCTGTCTGCAGCCTAGTGGCAGTTGGCAGGCCACCATATATGCCTGGAATGACACCATGCGTGTGGTCTGCCGGGTCCTCGCCGCAAGATGAGAAATAATTAGTCTAGCGACGTGCGTTCAGAAGTGTGCCGCTTGTCAGACCTCTTCGATGATGCGGTAGGAAGTGAAAGACACGTGCAAGGTCCGTGCCCTCCGCTGCCACCCCCGCAAAATGGAATTGGGGTGTCACGCTTAGCCTCAACCGTGAGACGTCTATCCGATCCTCTCATCTCCCCGTGCACCCCCGAGCGTTGAGGAGACGATGAATGTGTCCATATCCTTGGACGGGAAAGCCACAGTCAGTGATGTTCTTGGCGGGCGCCTGAGTGACAGATAGGGGCCAGCATTGCCATCTGATGTTTGGAACAATATAGGGGTAGTACAGAGATTGTTTAGGCTATTGGAAAAGAACATGGAAATTAAGATAATCTGGGGTGTGGGGTTCAAGGACAATATGATGGCTCAAGGCCAACCTGTTCAAATTCTGCGCGCCCCAACCATCGTCGACATGGTTGTGGCCTGAGACTGTCACAAGCAGATTCATTGTCAAGGGATTATGGGGTTATGTAGGGGTTAGATAAGGATAATGGAAAACATGGAAACTACCGCAGTATTTTCGGGTTATATAGGGATAATGGAAGATAACATGGAAACTACTATTTAGGGTTTAGGGTTAAGCGGGCAGCAAGCCTCATGGGAGTAACTAGTCTCTTTCCTCTTGGAGACTTCTGAACATCCTGTAGATGTTGAACCTTACCAAGCCTTGCAGACCCCTACCATTTGGACGGTGGGCGAGACCCTGGAGCTGAAGATCTTTGGACTTCACTTTCCATCCTCGGAGGTGGTGTGCGCCCTAGGAGTCTGCGGTTCTAATGACTGAGACTGGTCTGCAGTTTCCTAGTAGAGGTGGCTGTAAGACTATGAATGATATGAATGTCGATCAGTGGTTGCGCCCGGCGTTTCTCCAAGTTCTCCTACGTCCGCTGAGGTGGAGATGGCGTGCATCTTCTTTGACTACTCTGCGCCAGGTACACGACCCGCGCAGATTTGAGGGCTGTTGAAGTGCAAATGCTCCACTGAGCCATATCTTGCACTGCAATGCCTGTTAGGCCTTAGGTTGTTGCATGTTGTTGCTAAAGAAGTACGAGCAGCGGCTTTGTAGATCAGGGTACTCACTGGCACGTCATGGCGCTGCAGCTTGCCAGGTTTCGTCTTCGAAGCCTTCAGTGTGCGACAGGAGTTGATGTGGCGCAACCTGGTGCAGGAGATGGCATGATGGCCATTTGGTAAGTTGTTGAAATCATGGTCCATTAACAGCGCCACAAATATGAGGGGCGAAGTCCTGATATTGTAACTACCTATCGCCTATCATGCGATACTGTACCTTTCTTCGGATTCCGTTGCTTGGCAATGCCTGTGCAGCCTGCAGGATGCTTGCTCGCCCATCCCTGACGTTCAGTGGACGCATCAGTGGCCATCGGCTCAGCCAGGGTTTGTGCCTGTTTCGATAGGGAGCATCGGAAGTCAACATGACTAAAACCTGAGTAACATTCCGAGGCAGGATGTTCGCCAGCCATACTGCGCAGATGCAGGCCGCAGGGCATCGCAGGGTTGCATTTGGCAGATCCGCGGGCCCAACCTGTTAGGGACGGGCTCGTCTCTTTGAAATCCATCCAGATTTGCGGGCTGGAGTCAAAACATGCTTTTGTTTGGTTTAATGTCTGGTCCCTCTATGATTCGCAGGGTTTGGTGCAAGCCGCAAACCACTCCGAAGATTCTCAGAAGTGTGAAGGTGCTCCCATGAACTGGAGCGGGCCCTTGGCCATCAACGCGGCGCAGTGGCTTTCGGACAGCGAAATCCAATGCACCCTCCCGGCCTTACCAATGACGATGAGGCTGGAAATTGTGTATGGCAGGCTTCACGTTGTTTCAAGAGAATGCCACCTCTGCTTGCCAGTTAACAACTAGGTCCAGACAGACGGGCCAACAACAGCGATGCATGCGCAATATGTATTCAGTGATGTATCCTGCACACTGCTTCAGCCTTGCAAAGCCGTTGTTTCGCTCACCATCTGCTTGCTTTCTTTAGCAGCGGGCCTTACCTCCTGCGGAATGAGTTCAATAGAACGAAGATTCAACACACCAGCAAGATGCTGCCACAGCCCTCTCCTCGAATCTCTCGCTGCGCGGACTAACTTAACTCCTCCTGTCAAACCGCCCCCAAGCAACCGCAGCATTCTAAGGTTTTTGCACAGCCTGTTGTTGCTTCACTTGCTGTGGATGCACTCTAGCAAAAAACACCCCGTGCTTTTCAACATGTAGCCTCACCCAGCCATTCATCCGCAGGGGGAACCTGACGACGAACCGGACGGTGATGGCGGTGCTTGCAGCCAAGAGCAGCACTGGCTACCAGACCCAGGCGGGCAGTCTTCCGCTTACTTCGAAGCATCTCCTCACAATAACCCTTTTATATATATACACACGCATACATACGAGGTACTTTCAATTTTCTTCTCCATTATGCTCAACCCTAAACTTTTGCTCCAGGTCAGCTCGTTGCCAGACGTTCATCTACTTCCGCCTGTGAAGATTCTACGGGTCGAGCCAGAGGCGAAAGATGGGTCCTCCCTGTTTAGGGTTGGGGATAATGGAAAATCAAAATGGAAACTACTATAGTATATATATATATAATATTGGGGTTAGAAAATGGAAGCTACTAGAATAGGGTTATATGTCAGGTTTGTGTTTTTGCACCAGTCCAGTGCATCCACCCTTGAAGGTCATGGCGGTTGTGGAGCGCAATGACACAAGCAGCGTGCCCCCGCTATACCTGAGAGTGATGGGCGTGCCAGAACCTGAGTTCCTACAGCTGCGGTACTGTAGGGCAGACGCATCGAGTGCAGAAGCTACCAGTCAGATCTATCTCCTTTTGCATCTCCAGTCCCATTAATCTACTACGTAGGCTTCTGACGACTAGACCTGAATAGAAGACCAGGCTTTTGGCCCAACCCCCGTCTCCCAAGGGAGCACTTCCTCAAGTATGCCGTGCGAAGCCGGACAAAGCAGCCGAACACTCAGAGCAGCGAGTCTCGTACTGGTGCTAAAGTGGCAGAGTGAACGCAAGTGTTGTCATCGATCGTGCTATTGGGAAGTTGTGGGGGATGTACAGATGTTCATTCCACGTGCCCTTGATGCACGGGTAAGGGTAAGGTATCTCAAAAATCGAATCTACAGGAGTGTCAGAAAGGTCATCGCAAACGACAGAGATTGCATGACTGCGACAGAACATTGTTTCATATAACGAACGGTGAAGCTTGGTCTGACTGCTCTTTCTATCGGGAACTCTACATATTTAGAACATGGAGGGCAGTGAAGGGGAAGGGAAGGGAAGCAATAAATGGATCTGAGCCCAGGTGTCGTCTGCAGTGGCTCTTCCCTGGTCTGAAGGACCGCTTCAGAGATGATCTTAGGTTCAAGCTTGAGCAATGTACATCGGGCTGTTGATATGGACATTGCCATTGGTTTTTGCACCTGAAGGCTTGCTTATGATCTGCACCAGACCTTACAAGCTTGCTGGCTGGCCTTAGCATGGTGTGATTTGTCTTGCGTAGTCTTGCCTGACTCATGGAGACCTACGCGACTTGTGGGAGGGAAGCTAGAGCGTGGGGGCGGGCTGAAGCATGACCTTTTCGAGCAGGAGCGGTTGCTGACAGCGTTTGTCGTGAACGAAACAGAGGTGGGATGCAAGTTGAGGGAATGATGGATGTTGCACAACGATTCCAGAGACATGCAACAGAGGTGGTCTGCGAAGTGCCGCAGTATCTGAGACTTGGTTGCACAATGTTGCACATTAATTCTGACGTCACCGCATCCACATGACATGACCTGAGCCATAAAGCCACTTAGCCCCCAGCCTTGGTTGCAGGCTACTTTTTGCCAGTCAAGGTTCTAAGAACTGTAGATGGGGATCCCCATGCTTTCGGGCCTCAGGGCCTTATGGTTGCGCAGAAGACTTTGTCATGCCGATACACTGCCTGCTGAGGCTGTATCTGAATGAGCCGCCGGGAGCTTGGCATTGCAACGGGCTGCTTTGCTCAGGTTCTGCCAACACGACAGCTTTTTTGCCTCAAAACTTGAAAAAGTCCTCAGTCCTTGACCAAGGGCTTCCCTGTCCTTCTCCATTGATGGTACGGTGTGGTCGAACTCGCTGCCAGTGTTCTTCATGAGACAGGCGGGGAGCCAGGGTTTCTCCCTGCTTGAAGTGCTCTTGATGGATAGCAGCCTCGATAGCAGCGTCCGGTTGCCTAATTGCCGGTGGTCGTAAAGCTGGTATTCTTGTCGTTGTTGTTGGTGCAGTGGCTGTTGTTTTTCAGCATGGTGTATGCTAGATAAGTCGTTGGATTTCTGGTAGAACGGCCGATGGAATTATGCAAAGGATTCGGCCTAACCTGGCGATTGAGACATGTTTCATTCCGGACAATCCGCTAACCTGCCCATGCACAACATTGAAGGGGGTCGTTACCTGCATCTGATTGGGGGCTTAGCCTGCATTCTGGCCGCCCGGGGCTGAAGTGCTGCAAGCGGGAGTTTCCAAGAAAAAGCACTAGAGTTTATGGCAACCCCATACTATCCTTTCAATTCCTACATGTTCCTAGAGTCCCTAAAGTTGCAAACTCCAAACTCCCGTAGTGTTCACTGCCTGGCTCCTTGCTGCCAGGTTCGTCTGCACCTCTCGGGCCCCGCCGTGCTTCCGCCTTTCACACCCATCTCGTTGAATGTGACGACAACTGTCGAGTCACTCCAGCAGTACAAGGCCCGGAAGCACCTGAACTTGCTGAGATCACTGAAGGGAATGAAAGGAAGGGAAACCTTTCCAAGTTCGCTCCATCCGGCCTGCTAAGAAACTCCTGCCTGGAGAAGACCCGTGAAGGCCCCGACAATTTCTGGAGCCTGGCGCCCAACTTCAGTAACCTCCAAGCCTGAAACCCAAAGTTTCAAGCCCTCGAACCCTACACCCCAAAGCATTGAGTTCTTCACCTCTAAACCCCAAATCAGATCTTGAGCCAGGTGCTTCAGCGAGCGACAGAGGTCTGGTGCGACTTTGGGGTGCCCTCCGAAGCCTGGCCCTTGCATGGGGGTTTTCGACAAGTAGGGGCCCTTTTTTCTAGATGCCCATACTGAGGATCATGGTCTATTGGGTCCCCCGTTTATGGAAGCTACCTGATGGGCCTTAAGCCATCAGGGACAAATATAAGGATCCAAACTTCTGATTTTGGGTCCCAAGCTCCAGTCCCATTTGGGGGTGCTGAGCTGTGAGGACTCGTATTAGTTCTGAGATAGTCGGAGTCTAGGCAAGGATGAGGTGATGCTTTTTCGTAGGACTGCATGGGAACTTGTCGAAAGAGGGCAGTCAGAGGTGAAATGGCAAACTTTATTCATGTAGGGCCTAGATAATTCGGAGCAAACTTGCTTGGATCGTGGATCGTACTTTGCCCTAGTCTACAGTGAAGTACAGCCCGTGGACAAAGAACCATGAAAAGGGTGCCATGATGGTGCCATCCTGTCTTACCCCTGACCCTGACACCATAAAGCTTCAGTCTGTAAAAACCTGTGTGCATACCGAGTGTCTGCTAGGGGTGTCCTTCGTGCGCGCTCTTTCTCTGGCTTGACACGTGTGGCTGATGGCCCAAGACCCTATTGGATCATGACCTCGATGGTTGATGGCAGTCAAGAAGTTTTTGAATTGTGAGCACGGGCAAGAGAGAAGTAATAAAGCTGTCCGCTTATGCATGTTTGCTTCCTCTTGACAAGGTCCCAGCTTTGGCTACGGTGACTCTCGATCCAAACGTCTTGCCAGGACCATGAAGCAGAGCAGTTGTGATGCGTTGGCTGCATGCTCCCTTCATGGGCTCCCCTTTAGGCTGGGCTCAAGGTGGGAGCTGTGGCGAAGCCTTGGGAAGCCTTCTGCGGCAGGCATTTGGCTCACTCCAAACGTGCAACAGTGAAGCCACCGAGATTCAATAAAATCTTTGCATGCCAAGCATCCCCCGTAATCTATTTTGATTGAATGCCAGCCAGATTTTGATCAGCGACCTTGCAGGATGCTAGTTCATAGCTACTATATAACCCTATATAATCCCCTATATAATCCTATAGAACCCTATAGAACCCCATATAACCCCTATCTGGTAAAGGACAAGCTGCTTCTCACCTTCAAAGTTTAAGGGGTCGAGCAGTGGAGCATGGTGATGCAGCTCAAAGGCCTGGAGGCCTGTCGAGTCAGCTCTCAGCTTTCATCCCGCAATTTCAAGGTCCATCAAATTTTCCATTTTCTTTTCCATTGTCCCCCCTATATATCCCCAAAATTATACACCCATAATAGTAGTTTCCATTTTATTTTCCATCATCCCAGTACAGACGTTCCATGACGGATCCATATCAAAGCTGGTGCCGTGCTCGAGGTCTGCATAGCATCCTCCTACTGCAGGTGTTACGCATCTTATGCGATGTCTGCGCCGCTTTGAATATCAGCACCTATTATGATCATAGTCGCAACTTATCCAACACTATCCGCATGCTGGGCTTAGTTTGGTGCCTTGCGACATGCTCAATTACATTAACTTGACTGCTCTAGTAATACGCGCTGCGGCCCGACCCGAAGCGCCTGATGAAGACCTGCCACGAGTTGAAAGCTGCCCGTATCAGAATCACTTCTGGCAAGTGTGCTGGTTCCGACATGCTTTCATGTCTTGCCGCTGCTGGCATGGCCTTTCAAGCTATAGACATGGATAGTAGTGCAGCCATGGCTACAATCAAGTGCAAGGGTCGAGTCTTGCAAGTTTAGCTCGGGATGGGTTGTAAGGCTGTAGACAGGCCTGGCAGGCATGGGTTCAATAAGCGTTATTCAGACGTATCACAACAACCAGAAGTCGTACGCCAATGTTGTAGGCAAGAATGCAGAGCATGGACCCCGAATTGGCGCAAGCTGTGGCAGAGATCCAACTGCGTGTGGATACGGGATGGCTTTCCAAAGAGGAAGCCCACAAGCTGAAGACCCTGCTGAAGATGGGCCAGCAGATAGAGCGAAGCAAGAAAGCGACGCAATGGACGCACAACGCAGATGCATTGCTCAAAGAATACCTCCTAGCGAGGGAGGAGCAAACCCCGTTGCGAAAGCTTTTGAACGCGATAGGTTATTCCTGGCTTCAGAAGAAGCTGAAGGCTGCAGATGCTAAAAGAGATGCGCAGGTCAATACAAGCCTGTTTGTTTACATTGTGGAGTCAGATTATTTCGAATCTGCGATGGGGCTGGTGATGCTGGCAAATGCAGTGATGATCGGATTTCAGGTGTCCAGCAGGGAGGAGGATACGGAAAGCTCGGACATCTACTACATCTTGGACTTTGTGTTCACAATCATCTTTCTTGTTGAGCTGATCTTGCGGTACCTGTGTGAAGGATGGAGATGGTGGTTTCGGAGTTCCAACATCTTCGACGTTGTGGTCGTCTTGGCGACGAATGTCATTCCGGTTTGGATCCTGGTTCCGCTGGGCATCGACCCTGCTTTGGTTCGACCTTTTGCAGTCCTCCGTCTCTTCCGTCTGGTCAAGCTGCTGAAGCTGATACGCCGATACCGGAGCCTAAGAACTTTGTGGATCCTTTTCCAAGGCATTCTGGGAAGTGGCAAGATTCTGCTCTATACCATCATTGTTATGGGCACCACACTGTTCATCTGGGCTGTGCTGGCTGTCGTTTTGATAGGCAAGGACCCTAGGACGAGAGACCATCCAGATGTGCAGCTGTATTTCACGAACGTGCCAGATGCTGTTTTCACGTTATTCCAGATAGTGACAATGGACAGCTGGACAGCCATCTCGCGGCCGATTGGAGAGCTGAACCCGATTGCCGCTTTCGTGATTGGTGCTAACATCGTGGTGGTAGAGATTTGCCTGCTAAATCTGGTTACGGCTACCATCGTGGACGCGGCGTTCAAGAGACAGCAGGATGACCACGAAATGGTAGCGCGGGAGCTCAAGATAAAGAGCGACAGGCTCATCGAAGAAGTCCGGACCCTCTTCATGGAGATGGACAAGAGCGGAACTGGCAGCCTCACCTATGACGAGTACATGGATGCTGTCAGCGACAATCCTCAGATCCAAACGAAATTCACCACGCTGGAGATCGAGGATGCTGAGGAGTTTAGTTTCCAACCAACCTTCAAAAACCAACCTCTCCACATGCTCTTAGCCATGCAGTGCGGCATAGCCGCGTTAGCGGTTTCTGTAAAGTTCTTCAAGGCCCTCACATGTTTACATGCAGGAGCTGTGGGACCTCATCGATCTGGGCACAGGCACCATTGAGGTGGACCAGTTCGCGCAGGCCCTGCGGATCATTGCCGGTGAGGTTAAGGCAAAGGATTTGTTCACCATCAACCGAAGGCTGGCAGCTGGTCTCAGCAGGGAACATAAAGGTCGCAGCAGCAGTAGCTATGCAGGGGTAATTCTACTTCTAATCATAATGCTACAGTACCCGCAACTTCTTCATTCCCCGAACCTTGAACCCCTCAACCCTACTGAATCCTTGTGCAGAACTGCATAAACGCAACAAGCCCCATGGAGGGACACCCATGGAACCAGCCCCAGGGTGGGAAACTGCCTAAGACGCCTGGAAACAGCAGCGCGCGAAATGGAGCACCAGGCTCAGGCCGTGTCGCTTGAAAATAAGTCTCACCAAAAACGATTCCGCGGGGTCCCTAAAACTCACAGTTTTTAGGAAATCGTTTTTTCTTGTGTGGACCTAAGCTTCCTTTATAATTCGACTTTTTTAGTCTACGCCCATTGTTCGCTGAGGTGGCGGAAGGGCTGCAGAGTGAGGTTCACGCTGTCACACGGCAGCTCACAAAGTCCACAACAAACCTTGTGCACTTCATGCACAACGTTTCCCGATGCGTGCCGCGGGGTAGGGTACTGCTTCCAGCCGCGCTTGCGCAGCAACGGAGAGCAGCCATTCTCGACAAGGTGAAGCCCATCCTTGGGCCGAATATGGGCGAGGTCTCCCGGCTCTTCTTCTCCCACCGTGGAAAGCGAGCACCGCAGAAGCAGCATGTCAACATCATTGGAGCTAGCCGAAAGGTGGAGGATGATTTAGACTTGGAGTGATCCCAGGTTTGGGTGTAGGGCATAGTAGTGATCCCGGGTTTAGTGGATGTACAGTATAGTAATGCTGCAGCTGGCAGAAACAGCTTGGCTTCCGCTAAGCGGCTCATGCAAGCGATTTTCCGTATGTCACGCTGCTCTTTCGAATCCATGGATTCTTGTACATTTCAGGTGGTGGTGCCTTGTTTCACACGTACAAAGGCTTGGTAGCGATCGGAGGAGGCCGGTCGCAAACCAACAGCTTAGCCAGGCATTCTGCGAAGTACGCCGATAAAAAGCTTTTGTAGATTGAATTGATTACACTAATTTCTTCGCAGGACAACTGCAAATCCATGCACATCTCATCCACCTCTGATTCCGCCTTGAACCTGAAAGCAGTCACTTGTCATGAGGGGGAGGGTTCAAACAGCTGATCGGTTTAGACTGAAGTTAATAGGGCTCTTGGCTGCTGGTTCCTTCGGTCAGATCGCCCGCCAGGGACTGCGTACTGTTTTCAAGGGTGGCGCAGGGTAATGCTGTGTTTGAGCCAGAAAAATCGGAAAGGCCATTGTGATAGTATTGTCTGTAGTTGCAAGAGCTAGGAAGCCCATCATGGCTTAGGATTGAAAACGCGTTGGTAGGTAAAGGCAAGGCATACACTGCACAAATTCATACATACCTACAGGACTCGCTCACTTACATGCACGCATACAGATACACACGCATCAGACTATGGAGTGAATGGAACGCCCGTCAGGCCATGGCACGGCTTCCGTACAACCTCCACCTGTGTGACTTACCGGGAGAAAGGTCCCAAATGCGGGTAATGCCTAAGAAATCGGGTGGCGGCTGATGACGATCATAGAAAAACTGACATCTGCCATAGCCTTATTCTTCTGCGACAGCCGTGTAGCGAGATTCCAGGCAGATGTTGACAGAGCACAGTTGCTGAGAAGAGGCCGCATGGCTAAGCCTATCAACGCGGCTGTGATGTTTCTGGCCTGATCAATGATCCAGCGGCTCTGCAATGCCAGCTGCCTGTTCTAGTGATACGAGAGGACGCTGCTGCTGCACTTTTGAAAAGCACAGTGTGCTCAGGCTAAGAGACCTGCCATAGCCTCCAACAAGTGCTTGTACCTTTCTTTTGCACTGAAAGGCCTGGGGGTCCTGCCCAGAATGACCAAAAACCCGAAGCCCTTTACCAAGATTCACGTCACATAAAGCCCTGCAGATTTCATGTTCATTTGGTCGCTGACAAGCGCAAAGAACCTCAATGTGTAACGCAGCCTGAATGGAGTTGGCTCAGCCTCTTCATGGTGCTTCCTTGCGAAGGATCGATCGTTGAGGACGATCTCCGTCTCGTTACAGAGCCCTTGGAAGATGTCAGTGTGATGAAGGCCGACGCCGCACAATCTTGAGTACACCTGCTCGGCTGTAATTTTGTTCCAGCTGCACCTCATGTTGGATCGAGAGGATTGTGTAGCTGTCAGTTTCTTTCTTGCCAAGCTACTGCATGATGATTCCAGACACAGCTCCCAAAACACTGACAACCCAGCCTAGTGTAGAGACTGTGCACCAGCAAGGCATATCGCCGACTACCGAACATTTCTTGGACATGCTCAGCGCTCAAATATTGCTTCCTGTGTAACGGTGGTGCATGCATATTCAGCTTCTACCTAATTTGATGTCCTGATTTCCTGGAAGATAATCAGTTGTTTTTCCCCACCCTGAGAGTGGGGTTGTCAGATTTGAAGCAGTCGATGTTCTCCTCGCCCTCCTTGCAGCTGCCAGCGAAAGGTATCCAACCGCCAAGTATCCCTGGCATGCCCAACCGCCGAGTATCCGAGCAGTGCCCAGCTGAATATCCTTGCAGTGCCCTGGCGAGGCTATCCCTAATTGAATATCCCTGCAGAGCCCCACTACAGAATATCCTACAGTGGCCAGCTGCAGAGGAGGATCTCAGGTGCCCCACCGCAGAGTGTCCCCACAGTGGCCCAAAGCTTGCATTGTGTAACCCCAAAGAGTGTTCGCAACTGCTCAACCCCCAGGGTTCCCTCTTGCCCCCATCTCCAAGGTCTCCCTGCCCAGCACCCAAACGCAGAATATCCCTGCAGCGCCCCGTCTGAGAGTATCCCTGCTCTGCGCAAACCAAGCGACTCCACAGTTTCCGTGCAGTGCCTCAATCCTTCACTGCAGTGCCCAATTTCGGAGTATTCCCGGAGTGCCCAATCACCCACAGTGACTATGAAACATCCAAGCCTTGCACTTGCACAAGCCACCCTAGCACGAATTACATGGCTGATGTGCATGCTGCATATTGTTCTGGAAGTAGTTGATGGTTTAGCAAACCGCAAAAGCTGAGGGTGGCCATTTGCGAAGTAGATAATTTCATCTGAGTCTGTCCATGGAATCCAATACCAACAGTTTATGGTGCCCTTGCAGACGTCTCTTGTCCCATTGACTTGCATTCCATGGGTGTTTCTGCAGCCAATGTTCAGTAGGACCATCCGTGAACACCACCTTAGATCAAAGAGCGGGAGCCGTCGATTTGCCGGGCAAAGGGACAAGATGGCGGACCATTACTTCTGCCACCGCAAGTTGTGAACATCCAGACAATTTGGATTTGGGGCTTACAAGCACCAACCACCGTGCCCGCAAGGTCACACTCCTCCAGAAGGATTCCCGTCATCAATGCACATGAATCTGCTGCTGCCTCAAGCGCTGGGATGAATGGAGCTACAGGAGTTTCAATAGACCCTTATGCTGTTCTAGCAAGCTAGAGACTCTAGATCTGCTGAAGTTCACAGTCTCTGGAGCCAAAAACCAAGTTCGACACGTGTGTTGGGTTGCCAGCCAATCAGGGGCACTGTGCACGTTGTCCACATCACAGGATTGTGGTCCTTCTTAAATGTGACATGATGAATCCACTTGTTTAGGGACAGGGGACGCCGAGACTCCAACTTAAGACTCATAAAGGAAGCATCCAATGGCTTGAGTTACTTGTTGCGACCCAGGTCACTGGTCTTCAGCCGTCGACCCAGAAACCATCCTCTCTTCTGGAGGTGCACCAATGGGCACCTGCATATAGACGCATTCCTGCCCCGTCAGGAGCATCAAGACGAGAAAGCTTGATCAGTGAGCATTTGTAGAATGATATCCGGATTTTGCCCTCAACTTGATTTTTTTCTGGCGATATGTAAACGGGCTCAGCCTTCATCATCCCGCAAGTTAAAAGTACCACCAAGTACTGAATGAAGTCGGCTTTGTTGGACAACAGTTTGGTACCTCAGCCCAAATTCATATTCATCAGTGTCGACTGATGCTTCCAGGGTTCGCACCGTGCTGAAGACCACCAGAGCCAGTTTGGTAATTTCGAGCCCCACCTGAGTCCAAGTACTTGTAACAACCTGCAATCCTGCACTGTAGGGCCACCCTAGAAGTGCAGTAGTTGTCCCATTCAACCTGAGCCGAGCACCCAGAAGATCCCCCTGCCCCTCCTTGAATGCCGAGGTCCAGAGCGGCCAGCGCACCCTCCGCTCGGACTAGAGCCGATGGCAATTGAGGCCAAAGACTGAGCAGGTGTGATCTTGCATACGGAGGATATGCAGCAACATCATGATCATCCCAACAAGCTTGGGGGTGTGACATGTAAGGCAGCATGTTGTCCTCATGAACCGGCCTGCCTGTGTATGATTCTACGTGGCAGGTGTAAAAACGGAAGACGGCAGCTTTTTGCTTCTCAATCTGCGCATTCTGAATCAGGATCGAAAGCTTGGTACTATGAGGCTTGGGCAGAGTCAGATCCCGGAACTTGCCTGAACATCTCCTGTCTAGCAGTGGAGGATGCCTCCAAGCTAAGGCTGGTGACTAAAGGTTTCAGAGCCATACAGAAGGAGCTGGATTTCTTTCCAATGCCAAACTCCGCCCAAGGAATCCCATGGTTCTTTCGCATCCCCTCTAAAACTCTGAAATTGCTCAGGTGCTTCCCACCTTGGATGCGGCGCAGACTTCCACACTGGTTCTTATGGCAGGTGCTGCGGCCATTTCAATTTGATGACCCAGGATTCCAAACAGCGGCCTCATACTGTCCCATGAGGAATTCAGAAAGTCTGGAATTTCAGGAGCCATTTGTTTTTTTAAGGATTTGGACTGACGTTGGTGTAGCAGTTTGCATTCCAAGGCTGCAGACAAAGACCTTGCAGATACTCTGACAGGAACCACGGAGATGACTGCGGTGGTGAAGATGGCAGGCCCAAGCACAGTCTTCAATTGTGAAGTTTTTCTTGTGTAAGTTTCACGCAACGACTCCGGGAGCCAGAATGACATGCACAACTGAGCGGCAACTGCAAGTATTGTTTCAAAGGTTTAGCTACGAGCTGTCGACCACTAATCTTGCAATGATGCTGTGTATCATTATCGCCGAGCCTGAACATGCAACAGTAAGGAAGCAAGTGCAGCCAAGATCAAAGTCGCTCTCTCAACAGAATCCGTGGTAGTCGTAGCGTGCAGAAATATACGCATACTGTATGTACTCAGTACTCAGGGAGTAAGAAATAAGAAATGTTTCGTGTCATCGTCGTAGAGGTAATTTGTGGCGGTAACGGTCGTTCTCGTGGTGGTGGTTCTGAGTTATCGTGGTTTTTGTTGTTGTCGTCGGCGGCAGTTATGGTGGTCATTTCCGCTATAGCATGAAGAGGATAGCACGAGGTGGGAGAAAGCAACAGCCCGAACCTCAAGGAGAAACAGGAAACACCCATGCCTGTTCCCCAATCCCTAACTCAGTCGAGGGGTAAACCGTGTACGTTTTTGGGCTTGGCCTTCGCTCAGGCAGACTGATGCCAAACTTGATGCCGCTGTGCCGCCTCGACAACTGTCACGGTCTTGGCGCAGAGGGAGCTCTGTATGTGAGATTTATTCGCCCAGACGATGTTCCATCAATTAACAGGCAGATCCCTTAGCGGTCCTTATTTCAAGGCACTTACAGAGCGGCACCTTGGGGTCTGGAAATCTGTTCAGAGAGAACA